TTAGTCACAGAAAAAAATTTAATGAGGAATTTCAGTTTAACCGAGCAGAGACATTTTTCTCAACATTTTTATGACATTGGACCTTCTTGTTCTCGACCATATATATATATATATATATATATATATATATATATATATATACATACATACATACATTATGTATATATATATATACATACATTTATATATACATATATGTATATATATATACATACATTTATATATACATATATGTATATATATATATATATATATATATATATATATATATATGTATATATGCATGTGTGGGTGGGTGTATATGTATGTATATGCATTTGTTTATCGTTTAACGAATTTATACTAAAAAAAATGATTTCAAAGATATTAATGTGTGAATCTTATCGGAACAATAAAGAACGAATGCTAGTTACACATTCTCACACAGCATATGTCAGAGGAAAAAAATCGGAATATCTCTTACCAGTGACCTTAAGGAGAGAAAGCATTCATTCCGAAAATGCTGTCCTTGAATCAGCCAGAAGGGAACAATCAACAAGTCCGGTGGGAGGTCTTTGGCACGCACAGCTGTCATTATCATCATTATCATTAGGGGGTAGAAGAGGACAGACGAAGAGTGATAAATAAGTAGATTTTAGGCCCTAAATTCAGCCCTAAAGCCAAAATCAGTTCTTAAAATCCAAAGTTATATTAATAACTTGTAAAACACTCTCGATTTTGCATGATTCTGTGCATGTTTGAACAGCGTCTCATTCCGGTGGTCGCTGGCCCTGAAGGCTAAGGACACTCAGATATCTGAAATTCGATAAGCGCCTCGTATATTTTTCCTATTCATCATCTTCATCATTATTATTATCATTGTTAATATTTTTCATTATTATTATTATCATCAACATTATTATTATTATCATCAACATTATTATTATTATTATTGTTATTATCACTGTCGTTATTATTATTATCATTATTGTTATTATTATTATTGTTATCATTTTTATCATTTCATAACTATTATTATTATCAATATTATTATCCTCTTATTATTATCATTATTATCATTATCATTATCATTATTATCATTATCATTTTCATTGTTATCATTATTATTATTATTATTATTATTATCATCATTATTTTATTTACTACCATCATTATTATTATAATTATTGTCACTATTGTTATCACTACTAACATTGCTATTCATTGTCATTATTATTGTTATTATCATTGTCGATATTATCATTATCATTGCTGTTATTATTATCATAATCATTATTACTACTTTTATTATTATGATTATTGTTATTGTTGTCGTTTCTGTCGTTTTTGTTATTATTATCATTATTATTATTATGATTGTTATTATTATCATTATTATTATTATTATTATCATTATTATTATTATTATTATTATTATTATAATGATGATTATTATTATCACTATTGTTATTATTATCATTTAATGGTCGTGTATGGCCGGTTGTTTTTTCCTTTAACATGAAGCAACGACCCGTTGCCTTAGATGTTAAGAACGTGACGCAGAATTCTTGCAGTTCCTAATAGGCAAGCTTTTTGTAAGAGATCAAAGTGCAGATTTTGGCTGATTTGTGTCAGCCATGAATGAAATCTTGTAGAGATAGTGCCAAAAGCCCCGATAACAATGGGAACTATCTTTATTTCTCTACAATTCCATATTCTCTTTAGTTCCCATTTAAGTTCATCATAGCGGTCAATCTTTTCTCTTTCTCCCTCAGGGACCCTGTGGTCAAATGGGCAGGTGACATCGATGATGAGACATGTTCGTTTATCCTTGTTGAAGGCTATGATATCTAGCTTATTGCGGGCCAGTTCCCAATCAGTTTGAATGCACAAAGATTTACACTTTCGTTTTCGACTATAGCCTTTGGCCGGTGATCATACCACTTCTCGTGTTCTAAGTGACTCTCTTTGCAAAGCTCCCAGTGTATAATCTGGGCTATGTTGTCGTGCCTCCATTGTTTATACTGTTTTTGCGCAAGCTTTCCGCACTCAGAAACTACATGAGCAACAGTCTCTTCTCGTTCGCCACAGATTCTGCAATTGGGGGAATATCAACTTTATCAATTCGGTGTTGTATTGATCTTGTCCTGATAGCCTGTTCTTGACCAGCCATCAGTGTCCCCTCTGTTGCCTTCTTCAAATCTCCCTTCCTCAACCATTCCCAACTCTTCATGTCTCTAAATTCGGTTGCTTTGAAGAATACACTGTGAAGTTTCTTCTCTAGAAATTTACTCTTTCTGTCTTTTTATCATGGCCCCCAGCAACCACACTTTCATTCAAACTCTCCCTTAACATCAATTCTTCGCTCACAGATACATAGCTGTACAGACGCAATCTTCTATGCTTTTTAGAGCCCTTCCTCCTTCACACCTTTGCAGATATAATCGATCTTCATCTCCTTTTGCTGTGAAACATATTGTATGTAGTCAACAGCTTCCTTGTCCTACGATCTAATGACTGG